TATTTTCTCTCATTACGTAGGTTGTCTTTTCGTTTTGTTTATGGTCTCCTTTGCTGTGCAAAAGCTTATACGTTTGATTAGGTCAAAAGGCTTCTTTCTTGAACTGAAGTTTCTCTCCTATTCTTGATCAGGTCTCTTGTTTTGAGTTCCAGAGAATATGGCAGGGGAAACCAGCAACATTGTTTCTCATCAAGGCCCAGTATAAGCCCACATGTTGAGCTGCCTGGAGAGTTTGCAATTTCTTTTTTTTTTCTCTTAATCATTATTAGAGTATAGTTGCTTTACAGTGTTGTGTTAGTTTTTACTGCACAGCAAAGTGAATCACCTATATGTATACATATATCCCCTCTTTTTTGGATTTCCTTCCCCTTTAGGTCACCACAGAGCATTGAGTAGAGTTCCCTGTGCTATACAGTAGGTTCTCATTAGTTATCTATTTTATACATAGTATCAATAGTGTATATATGTCAATCCCAATCTCCCAGTTCATCCCAACCCCCCCCCCATTGCCCCATTGGTATCCATAGGTTTGTTCTCTATGTCTGTGTCTCTATTTCTGCTTTGTAAACAAGATCGTCTATACCGATTTTTTCAGATTCCACATATATGTGTTAATATACGATATTTGAGTGTTCCCTGGGGAGGCAAAATTGCCCCCACTTGAGGACCACTGTGATAGACCATGTGAGAAATTAAAAGGGTAGATGTGACACCTGGGTAGGGGTAAAATCGAAATGCTTTCTCAAGGGTTTGGATAGGAATGTGAGGAAGAAGATTGAGAGATCAAACAGAAACACAGAAAAGGCCCTAGAGGCCATGTAGTCTAACCTGCTCATAATTGCTTGCAAGGTGGTAAACTCTTTGGAAGGAAGTTTGGTAAAACCTATAATAATCACAAAAATTATCTTGCCCTATAATAATCACAAAAATTAAACTGACCCAGCAATTCCATTCCTGGTAATCTATCATAAATGTTTCAAATGAAGACAAGAATCTTTATGTATAAAGCAACAATAGTTACATGGGGACAGTGACCATGTTCTCAACAATTGCACCCTCATGCCTACCACAGTGCCTGTTAATGAGAGGCCCAGATTTAAGAAGTCGATTTAAGGTTCAGAGGAGGTGAGTTTGAAGATTCTGGAGAGAGAAGTTGTAGCTAATAAAACAAAATCCCAGAGGGGGTGGGAAGGGCAGTTATCAAGAATACAGAATGGCCCCGGGGGCTTACCTGGTGGCGCAGTGGTTGAGAGTCCGCCTGCCGTTGCAGGCGACACGGGTTCGTGCCCCTGTCCAGGAGGATCCCACATGCCGCGGAGTGGCTGGGCCCATGAGCCATGGCCGCTGAGCCTGCGCGTCTGGAGCCTGTGCTCCGCAACGGGAGGGGCCACAACAGTGAGAGGCCCTCTTACAGCAAAAAAAAAAAAAAAAAAAAAGAATGGCCCCGATTCCCCTGAGGAGGCGCAGGTCGGCCCCCTCCCCACCCCTGCCGCCCGAGTGAACTGGCTTGACGAGGGACCAAAGTTCCCCTGGACCAAGACGCTGCGCGCAGCTCTTCCTAAACAGCATGGGCAGCTCGGAGAGAACACGTGGGACTCAGAGTTGGTCTCCCGCAGCAGCTCAGGGACACAGGAAATTTTTTGGATGGACGCTCAACTGCCACGAAAAACAGTGAGGATATCGCTCACCTCTGCATCCCCGGTGTCTAGAAGAGCGCCTGGCATATGGTCACCTCTCAAGACCTTCTGAAGTAGGATAACACTAGACGTGGACTCTAAAAAGAATCGTAGGCAGCCTGTATATATAGTGAAGCTCCTCTGAGTCACTTTGACTGGAGAAACTTGGGTCACTTGGTTAAGCACAAGCCAATCATTGTGGCCAGGCCTTCCACAGTCTGGGAGCATTCACTGTGTTCTGCAGCACTTCTGGAGGCCAAGTGGAGTCCCAGCACAGGATGGTTCTTCAAAGGAAATTCAGTGTCTTTCGTCGGGGGGGGCGGGGGTGGATGGCCGGGATGGATGCTGGGCAGGTAGAGTCAGCATATGTTCACTGAATATGGAATTATTAAGTCAGAAAATATTCCTTTCCAGTTTAATTAAGAAGTAGCCTTGGAGATGAACTTCAAGTTTGAGCTGGATTAAACTAGCAAAGATGAAGGGAAGAAAAAGCAAAGTGTGCATTTCCTTGCAGGTTGATCGTGTCCTCTGAAACGTGTCCCATGAAGGCAGGTGATAGTCTGTTTCGTTGTCTTGTTTATGATTGTTACCCCGATGCCATCGCAATGTCTGTCACTTACTAGTCAGTAAACATTTGTTAAATTAAAAATATAAAATAAAAAAAGAATACAAGTAGAAAAGTCTGTAGCTTCATTTTCAGAGAGAGAGCAATGACTGAAAATTTGTAATGGAGAGGGGAGGAAAGGAAGTTAGGCGGAGGAATTTAGGGCTTCAATCAGTCTGTAAAGAGACCCAGGTGGATCGAAATTTGAACCTAGAACTTTGCCTGAGGGCATTCCTTGAAACCAAGAATTATGCGCTTTCTCATGCAAAGCTGCTGGGGAACGTGTTTCTCAGAAACGGGGACCTCCCGAGGAACACTGCAATTTCCAGACACTAGTTCAGTAGCTGACTTTCTTTCTCCTGGAGTCCCTGGCAACTTGATTTGTACACTGTCCCCTAAATATGGAATCCGTGTTAATTTGGCAGGGACTCCACCGCTCTAGCGGGAAGCCATGCATTGAATTAACATTTTCTAAAGGGGCCAGCCGGAGGCGCCGATGGAAGAATGGTGGGCGGGGACAACCCAGAGGCGGCTGGAGGCCCACCCCTTTCCCAGAGTACACTGCGGAAGCCGACTACCTGAGCCGGCTTCTCGCCATCTCCCGCTGGGCTCGGGAGAGGGTAGGACCATGGACGGTCTCCGGGCTAACGCTGGGCTGCCGAGGCGCGGGCGATTGAGGCGGCGGCGCCAGCCACAGCCACATAGCGGGTCGGTCCTGGCCCTGCCCCTGAGGCCCAGGAAGATCCGAAGGCAGCTGAGGAGAAGTGTCGCGTCCCGGATGGCCGCGCTGAGGGCCCAGGCGCTGCCGAGCGAGGACTCGGAGGACTCGAGGGTGGAGTCGATGGTCGACGATCGCAGGGACCCGCTGGCTGGAGGGGCGGCGGCCCTCTCGGATGTGACCCGGCGGGAGCCGTACGGCCACCTCGGGCCCGCGGAGCTGTTAGAGGCCTCACCCGCGTCCCGATCCCTGCAGACTCCCCGCGCCCTGGTGGAGGCGCAGACCCCATCGGCGCGCTTGGTGGAGGCGCAGACCCCGCCGGCGCGCCTGGTGGAGGCATCCGCCCTGCCGGCACGCCTGGTGCAGGCCTCGGGTCCCCCGCCGCGCTTGGTAGAGACCTCGGCCGTGCTGTGCTCTGCCCAGCACTTGGCGGCCGCCCCGCCGTCCGTGGCTCCAGCGACGCTGTCGGGGCCGCAGGGGGAAAGCGCGGGCGGGGAGCTGCCCTGGGACTCCCCGCTGCAGCGTGTCTTGGCTGAGCTGAACCGCATCCCCAGCAGCCGGCGGCGGGCGGCGCGCCTCTTCGAGTGGCTCATCGCGCCCATGCCGCCCGACCATTTCTACCGGCGCCTATGGGAGCGCGAGGCTGTGCTGGTGCGGCGGCAGGACCACACCTACTACCAGGGTCTTTTCTCTACCGCCGACCTGGACTCAATGCTGCGCAACGAGGAGGTGCAGTTTGGGCAGCACCTGGACGCCGCGCGCTACATCAGTGGGCGGCGCGAGACCCTGAACCCACCCGGCCGCGCCCTGCCCGCCGCCGCGTGGTCCCTGTACAGGGCCGGCTGCTCCCTGCGCCTCCTCTGTCCGCAGGCTTTCTCCACCACCGTGTGGCAGTTTTTGGCTGTGCTCCAGGAGCAGTTTGGAAGCATGGCAGGCTCCAACGTTTACCTCACGCCCCCCAACTCGCAGGGCTTTGCCCCCCACTACGACGATATCGAGGCTTTTGTGCTGCAACTGGAAGGTAGGAAACTCTGGCGGGTCTACCGACCGCGGGATCCCACCGAGGAACTAGCCCTGACATCCAGCCCCAACTTCAGTCAGGACGACCTAGGAGAGCCGGTGCTGCAGACGGTGCTGGAACCTGGAGATTTGCTCTATTTTCCCCGAGGCTTCATTCACCAAGCCGAATGCCAGGATGGAGTGCACTCTCTGCACCTGACCTTGTCCACATACCAGCGCAATACCTGGGGCGACTTCCTGGAGGCTGTACTGCCTCTGGCAGTGCAGGCTGCAATGGAGGAAAATGTGGAGTTTCGTAGGGGACTGCCCCGAGACTTTATGGATTACATGGGGGCCCAGCATTCGGAGTCTAAGGATCCGCGAAGAACTGCTTTCATGGAGAAAGTGCGGGTCTTGGTTGCCCGCTTGGGACACTTTGCCCCTGTCGATGCTGTGGCTGACCAGAGAGCCAAAGACTTCATCCACGATTCTCTGCCCCCTGTGTTGACTGAGAGGGAGAGGGCACTAAGCGTTTATGGGCTCCCAATTCGCTGGGAGGCTGGGGAACCTGTAAACGTGGGGGCCCAGTTGACAACAGAAACAGAAGTGCACATGCTTCAGGATGGTATAGCTCGGCTGGTGGGTGAGGGAGGCCATTTGTTTCTCTATTATACAGTGGAAAACTCCCGAGTTTATCATCTGGAAGAGCCCAAGTGCTTGGAGATATACCCCCAGCAAGCTGATGCCATGGAACTCCTGCTCCGCTCCTACCCAGAGTTTGTGAGGGTAGCGGACTTGCCGTGCGACAGTGTGGAGGACCAGCTTTCCTTGGCGACCATGTTATATGACAAGGGGCTGCTGCTCACCAAGATGCCTCTAACCTGAACTAGTTACTCCTTGACTGCCAGAAACAAGACAGTAGTGATTCTCTCCTACCACCACCACTTTTCTGGGGGGGAAAATTCGTTCTTACCTTAATAACCATCACTGTGCTTACATTTACCTTTATGACTGCTTCAGTGTCACAGAACTCAGACGGACTTCTAGGAAACACCACCTCATCTAGGCACAAAAGTAAAAGCAGAAGTTGGAGGTGGAAAAAGGAGCTTGTTCTGAAGTAACCTTGATTCCTGATCGTTTGAGAGTACCAACTTCATCATCACCCTCAGGCTTCCGTGTACTGTGTGGCATTTGCTGTGTTACTCTGCTTGAGACATTAGAAGTTTTTATTTGGAATTTGCACCCTTCATTTGAGTTCTCTTTCATCAGTTTGGGGGGAGGGTTGGGGTCAGTATCCTGTTTGTTACTGTGAGTCTGTGTGAAAGTTAGAAAAGTTATTAAAATGCCAGAGAATGTTTTCCTTTTTCTAGGGCTAGATTATTATGTGGCATGGTCTAAAGAAACGTGGGAGGAGGGAGGTCGATAGGGAAAATCAACAGCTGAGGTGAAAGGCAACTTGGGACGGTTGTAGGATTGGGGCCAATTCTGCAACTTTGGGGGTAATTTATTCATTTTAATCATGTTACTCGAACCCCAAACAGCACAATCCTATTAGAAAAGTTTTGAGTATATTATGTTTTTAAAAGTGTATTAGAAAAAAAAAAAAGTGTATTAGGGTTTTGCTCAGTGCTTGCTTGCATCAGTGGCTGGCACTGCTCCCAAAGAGACAGAATGTCACCTAGTTGTGCTGTCATAGGCCTCAGTCAGCCAACTTGTAGCAAGCTGGCCATGAGGGAAGGCTGGTGTTCAAGTTACTTTCCACTCTCATTTTTTTCTGGCAGTTGGAAGAAACTTCCCCAAATCTGGCAAGTGAATATTCTCATGGTTGGTGGAAAAGAGCCTGGTGTACCGGAGAGAGCACTGGACTTGGAAGCAGAAGACCTGGGTTTGGGGTGGTGGCTGGTGGGCAGCTGGCTGAATGACCTGAGGCTGCTGCTGCGCCTGGGCACACTGATTTTGTAAGTATGTTTTGGTACAGCTTGATGTCTACACCTCATCATTTAGGTTGTACCTGGAACTTTTAAGATCCTTTCACCGTAACTGATAGGTTGAGTTATATAAAGCTGAGAACTTTATGAAATCGTTTTTTTTTTTAAGTTGCAAAAGCATAGATGTACGTATAATCTCACTTTCCAGAGGTAATATTACTATTCAAGGTTAAGCTTCAAGGATTTTTCTGAGTGCTTAACCAGACGTACACACGGCAGTTTTTTGTTTTGTTTTTCTAAGGCGTCCTTTTTTTGACCTAACTTTCAAATTGGTTCGATAGAATTACATCATTCTTTTTTTAAGGGGCAGATAGCAAATCAGAGCCTGGGGGAGGGGGACAAGGAAAAGATAACAGAAGGACTGAGAGGATGGTGGCCAAGAAGAAAAGAAAGTGTCCTTTCCTGGCTCTCATCCTACAGGGCTCACAACTAAGTCCCCAAACATCCAGTCACGAAAAAGGCTTGTTAAAGGAGTCAAGGCATAGGATTCACCCCTAGAAAACTTACCCTGAAAAGTTTCTTGGAGAAAAGTATGGAATTTCAGTGGTTTTTGCCCCTGTTTGGGTTGCATGTAAACACGTTTTGCTTCCTCCTTCACTTTTCCTATGACTGTCTCAATCTTGAATATTTTCTGTATCAACAGTTCCTTTTGGCTTAGTGTTTGAATCTGAATCAGAACAAATGTTGAAAAACTATACTAGGCTGTAAATCATCAAAAAGCGTTAATAAAGTAGGATTGCATCATGCTTATTAGTATTAGGTGGTACGTAAATGCCTGAGAACATTGTTCTCTGGTGATATTGGTTGGACATTTTTCACATCTGTTATTGAAAAATTTACTTTAGCTTGTTGGGCATGATGAAAGGAATCTGCTAAGAAATGCTTGCTTGATGTGAAATTGGTTTTGTGAATTATATGAAGAATCTTTTGCCTTTTGTTTTTGTTTTTTTTTGTGGTACGCGGATCTCTCACCGCCGTGGCCCCTCCCGCTGCAGAGCAACAGGCTCCGGACGCGCAGGCTCAGCGGCCATGGCTCACGGGCGCAGCCGCTCCGCGGCATGTGGGACCCCCCCGGATCGGGGCACGAACCCGTGTCCCCTGCATCTGCAGGCGGACCCCCAACTACTGTGCCACCAGGGAAGCCCTGTTTTGCCTTTTTAAAGTCCTTTTCCCTCGATTTTTCATCTCCTCTAACAGCTTTGAAAAATTAGAACCACCTGTTCAGTTAGAGTTCCTTTGGTGAAAGAGCCCAGATTAGGAATTAAGGAAAGTTTAGAAGGAAAAAGAAAATCTAGGGACTTCCCTGGTGGCGCAGTGGTTAAGAATCCACCTGCCAATGCAGGGGACATGGGTTTGAGCCCTGGTCCGGGAAGATCCCACATGCCACGGAGCAACTAAGCCCGTGCGCCGCAACTACTGAGCCTGTGCTCTAGAGCCGGCGAGCCACAACTACTGAAGCCCGTGTGCCTAGAGCCCATGCTCCTCAACAAGAGAAGCCACCTCAGTGAGAAGCCCGTGCGCCGCAACGAAGAGTAGCCCCCACTTGCAGCAACTAGAGAAAGCCTTGCGCAGCAACGAAGAACTAACACAGCCAAAAAAAATTAATTAATTAAAAAAAAAAAATCTAGGGGGCCTATTCCAGTCCCTCATTCCTTCTTTATGCCTATCTGCAAAAAAGAAAGAACTTGGGTTTAGAGGATGGTGGGGGAAAAAAAGGGAAGGAAAGGAAACAATATTTCAGAAACAGCTGATTTTGAGGGCTACTTGATAGGACTAAGGGGATTTTTGCTTTGTTTTACTTTTTACTAGTAGGATTTTATAATCCCATCTTGCACAGATGTATTTTGTATCTTCAAGTGAGATATTGTATCTGGGGCTGTAGAAAGTATTTCTGTGTTGGGGAAGAGGGTATGTACATGCTTAGGGGGAAAAAGGGGCCTGAGGAACCCTTGAGAGCCCTGAATTTTTTCTTGAAAACATAGCTTGTACTTATCTACCCTGTTCTTGATCTTCTGAAGCATTTCTTGGTTTCCTTCATTTTCTAAGTTGAGTGTCTTCATTGCATGGTGAATTTCTCTGAAAGGTAAGAAGGACTTCTTAGGCTGTTCTTCCTATCCTTAAAGCATGGAGGTGGAAAATACAGGACTTGGAATCAGACAAGAATCCTAAGTTCCAATCCTAACTGCAGTTTTGCTGAGCTTTATTTGCAAAAATTGTATGATGCTTAGCTTGTAGGGGTGTTCTGTAGTTTTTGAGATGATATACTTGAAGGTACTACTAGATATTATTTATTGAACACCTTTATGACAGGTACTAACATGTTATCTCATTAATCATCACCACAGACCCATAAGGCAGACTGCCGTCTGCGTTTGATACATGAAAAAATGGGCTCAGAGAGTTTAAGTAACTTACCCAAACTTACAGAGCTAGCACATGTCTGAGCTGGGGTTCAAATCCTGGTCTTTTTGACGCTAAAGCCTATCGTCACTAAGTAGGCACTTGATAAATGTTAGTTGAATAAAAAAACCCACCTGGGATGATGAACAAGTACGTAAACTACATGAGCTTGACTTTTAATCTAATTCAGGCCAGTTTTTCTGTTACCCACTTGCTAAGTAGATGAATGGCCCAGGTGAGCCTGTGCTTTTTACAGCCATTAAGCAGCCTGGAAAGGCAGGCACATACTCTGTTAACAAGGTTGGGAGAGTTGGCAGTACAAGAGGTCACGGCAGGAACCAGAGGGTTAGTGCTTACTTTAGAACAGCATCATGGTTCTCTAGGAGCAGCACGTCTAGGAAGGTGTCCCTGACTCGGTCTCCTTGAAGTTTGAGGGCTAGGATGCTACGGCAAGCCTCTAGTCGTACACCTGGTGATTCTTCATAGTGGATAGCCCAGAGCAGGAGGTCTGTCAGTTGGGGACTCACGTGGCCAATTTGTCCCAAAGCTGCAGAGATTAGAGGGCAGCATGTTCCACTGTAACTTAAGATTGAGTTTGTTATATCCTAGCATCCAGAAATGGCCTTATTAATAAATAATAATAAGGTATAGGCAACCACTTGCTAAATTAAATATTGCAAATACTAAACTAAGTATTTTGTCTTTACCTTCCCTTTTAGATGACAATTACCATTAGAATTTTAGGAATGGGTTAGAATAGGACATTATCCCCAGAGAATTCCCAGAAGGGGGGTATTCCATGCCATCCTTGTCCATTAGGATGTGAGAATATACTAATGTACCTATTTATCTAGGAATGAGATATGGGATAGATAACTCAGAAGACCAACCTAGTCAAGGCAGGGTAATGGGGAAAGAAGGCACAATTACTTCGCAGCTTAACCCAGGGCTGATTCTTAAAGGGACCTGTCAGAGAGAAACAATGCCAAAAATCCCTAAAAAGAAACTCTAGGAAATTTGAGGGCAGGATTTTAGGTTTGTAGCAGTCTTGAATCTGGTCTGACTTACAGAGTCCTATGGTTGAAACCTCCAGAGAAAGCAAGTATATCCAACAGTGGATACCTACTTGGAACTCAAACCTAATTCTGTTGGCAGGGATTGTCCTGTCAGCCCTTTGCCTTAACGCGTTTGACATAGACCTAGACGCCTTAACTAAAAATTAAAAAGAACAAGAAAATAATCTTTAATTTCTCAGGCAAGGAACTTCTGAGAAGCTGTGATTATCCCCTCCCTTACACTCTACTCTCTTCCTAAAGAGATTCTGGGGATCATCTATACTAAAATACGGGAAGGTTGAGGAGCTGGGGCCACTCCTGTAATACCTCGAATGGCAAAGGCCTTGATTTTCCAGCAGGGATCTCTCTGTATGAGATTCAGAAGGCATTCAAGGACCTGGGATGGATAAAAGGCAGTGCTGAGTGGAGAGAATCAGAGCAAGAATGAACCAGAGACAGGGACCCCTCTTGTCTAAATGTGCTTTAACTGGAAAAGTGGCCTTCTATCAAATCTAGTGAAAAAATGAGCTGGAGCCAGAAGTACTGGCTTAGGCGCGGAGTGCTCTTATCTCCTATCTGTAGATTGATTTTCCCAGCTCACAGATCTATGGCCATATAGGCTTCTTTTGAATACCTCCATCAGGTTTTCCACTAATAACTAGGGATTATAACTCGATTCACTGGAGTCGATCCCTAAGCCTATCAGCACCCATGTAATGAGAAGCTAGTTAACTGAGGTGAGAACAGGATTCAGGGGTGTGCTCTAAAGTGAAGTCTAGGCTGGCTTGGAGCTAAGTGTGGTCCAAACTGTTGGTGTGGCCTATATAGCTCCTCACCTTCCTGGTTCTGATCTCTCATTCTGTGTCCCCACAGAATGGTGAGTATGCTATGTACGAATGAAGCACAGGGTAATGCCCTCTTGGGTTAATCAGGTAAGATGGGTACATGTCTCCTTGACTCACCATATTATCATGGATCTGCAGGGCACCAGCAGCCAAACAAGCTGCCTGCCGAACTGCCGTGAAGTCATCAGAGAAGCAGTTCAGAAAGCTTGGGAGAAGCTTGGCGGTCATGAGCTTGAGCCCACGAATCAGGGAGAGGGCTTCCACACGCTCCTGGAAGTTTCCTTGGCCCAGCTTGACTCTGTAAGGCACAGGTGCTTTTATTTTCCCTCCTTAAACTTTTGGTCCCTCTCCCTACGCCCACCCCCAGTGCCCTCAGGATAAAACCCAACTTCTGTACGCTCTCCATTATCCATTCCCACCCTTTCCTACTTAGCCTTTAAGTTTCACCAGATAGACCTCAACTGTTTTATTTACTTGAATCCCTATTACCTAGAGTATGCTAGGTGCTAAACTATGTTGAATGACTGAATAAAGGAAACTTTAAACATGGATCTCTTGCTACAGTCAAGTTCTCTTCCCCACTGCCCTCACATGTGCCATGTTCATTTCTGTATTTGGCTCCCAGTATGGAAGGTCTTACCTTCTCTCTGCCTACGTAGTCTTACCCATCCTTCATGAAACTTGACTTTGCTAGGCATTTGTGTATCTTGCCTGTATAATCAGAATCATGGCATACATTTGAACTCTCAAACATCTAAAACAGTGCCTAACACCTAGTGGGCATTCAATTAATGATTCTTCCCTTAGCTACATTGTTAGTGTCTGTAGGGGCTGTTAATGTTTTACTTTATTAAAAAAAAAAATCCTGCAATGGGATCTATACAATGCTGAGCAGACAGAGCAGCTTAACAAATGCTGGCTGGCTGGAGCCCAGGCTCCCTGTACACTTTAAGAATAAAAAAGCTTCTTTCTCCATGTTGACAAGGTCTTACCTGATTGTGTCATGCACCTCTTTCCCAAGGCTCATTTGCCCCAGAGCTTGGGCAGCTGCTTGTCTCACTTTCTTATTCCAGTCACTCAACATCAGCTGGATCAACTTATGTTTCATATCCTACACATAGGTGTAATATTAGCTACCATTTATTACCAAGTCAATTTTGTACTTGGCACTGTGCTAGTAAGTATTTTTACCCATCATGTAATCCTCCCAAACAATCCCATAAGGCAGATATGACCATTTATAGGTGACAGAATGGAGGCTTAGATTTCTTGCCCAAGGTTAACCTGTTGAGTGCTGGAGCCAGGACTCAGACCCAGGCCTGTTTTTGAAGCTTATGCTTTATTTATTCATAAATTTATTTTATTTATTTATGGCTGCGCTAGGTCTTCGTAGCTGCATGCGGGCTTCAGTAGTTGTGGCTCATGGGCTCTAGAGTGCAGGCTCAGTAGTTGTAGTGCACAGGCTTATTTGCTCTGCAGCATGTGCGATATTCCCAGACCAGGATTCGAACCCATGTCCCCTGCATTGGCAGGTGGATTCTTACCCACTGCGCCACCAGGGAAGCCCAAAGCTCGTGCTTTAAACTACTGTATTATATCGGGGGCAGCATAATCTGTACTTGAGACTCTTAAAATTTGAAAGTGATACATTAGTAGGATGACCAACTCATTCCAATTTGCCTGGGACTTTTCCTGGGTTTAGTACTGAAAGTCCTATGTACTGGACAAGCTAGGACAGTTGGCCACCCTATGTGTTAGTACGTCTCTCAAAGGGAAAGGGACGAAGGTTACTAGTTGGTGATTATGTAATGTGCCCAAAGCTATTCTCCCTGCCTGAAACATCTCGCTTTTCCACCCCTATCTGATACCTGATGTTTTTCTGTTCTTTTAGGATTGAACTCAAAAAGCATCTCCTCAGTGAACTCCTCTGCCTTCTGTAAGCAATAGGAAATCTCCATACTGCTTTACAGCTACTTCTGTTATCTTTGCATCCCCAGTGGTAGCATGCTGCCCAGCATGTAGGATGTGGTCAGAAACTGCTTGCTTACTGCATGAGTGAAAGGACTGATGGACATATTGCTTAACCCCAGCAGTCTGATGTGAAGTCCTCATCTTTACCCCGTCCCCTGCTTGCTCTGCATGGCTTTTTACTTTCAGTTGGCCATCCTGAGTAACAAGTGCTGAGGAGGTGAATGTGCAAATTAATCAGATGTTGTTAAAATGGTGTTGTTAAATTCAGGTTCTGATTGAATTGACCAGAGGTGAGATTTTTCACTTCCAGCAAACTCCCGGGTGATACCTATGCTGCTGGTCCAAGACTTTAGCAGCGGGGTACTACTATGGCAGTCGAGGCAGAATTAACCCAGACTAGAATTATACTGAGTACACTGAATGGCCAGGTTTTGTGCTTCCCACATCAAAATGTGAGGGTCAAGATGGAGGGTGCTCTCTTCTCGTGGGAATGGCAGTGTTCTGGGCCATTTTGGAGTTACTTAGTGGTATAAGGAAAAGATAGTGGCACATAGGAAGAAGGGAAAAATCCCATTTGGACAGCTGAAGTTGATTTTAAAATAATGGCAAGAAGGAGGTCAGGTGAAAGCCTAAATGATGGTCAGGGTTTCCCGTGCCTGGAAGTCTTTTTTTCAGTTCTGTCCCAAGTCTTGCTCAGCTGACCCACACTCCTTCCTTCACAGAACTTTAACTGATAGGTTCAGCCCACACTAATCTCTCTCTGAAAAGTTTTGAGTACATTACATTTATCACTTGTTCTTGAATCATTTGTGTATGTTAGTCTTGTTACTCTAACTCTAATGTCAGGTTTTTGAAAGTAGGGACAGTATTGACTGATACTTATAAAAGTACCTTGATGTGGAGGCAATGTCAAATTACTATAAAAGTTTCTAAACTTTTCTCTTTTTTTTTTCTTGCTTACTTCATTGTAGGTAGGTTACAAACAGTTTGTGGACTGCCACCAGGCTGAGAAGCAGTGTCTTAAGTAATAGAACGATATGCTGGCATTTGAAGAGAATTCTGGGTTTAGGAGTAAGAGGTAGCAGTATGGGAACAGAGATCTGTTTGGCAAGAATGGGATACTAGATAGCAGCAAAAAGTGGAAGAGCTCCCTAGCTCAGTTTTGCTTAGACTTTCTGTCCTGGAAACACAGGAAGAGAAGGCTTACCACACTGACATTTCCACCAATCTGGGAGAGAGCTCGGCAGGCTACAGTCCGGTCTTTCCATTGATGGCTATTCAGCTCCACGGCAAGCATGGTATGTATCAGGGTCTGAGGAAATGGAAGACGTGTAAGGATATCCGTGATCACTTTTAGAGATGCTGGGACCTTGAAGAAGTTATATCCTAACCTGGCATCCAGCATAGTTAATGTCACAAACACATGAGATGCCCGTTGCTAGCAAAGGAGAGTGGGTTTACAATGGGGCACTCTTCCATCCAAGCCAACTGATTTCTGGGGAACAAATCAGGGAACAATATACAGATTTAGTAATCTGAACAGAAAATTCCTGGGACCTTCTCTTCTTTAATTTAACTATCTTTCCCCCTAAAATGATTTGTATATGCCTCAATCTGTGAGTTTCACATTTCTACTGGAAGTAAACAGAATTGTAGGTCTGTGTAGTTTTCAGTGGTAAACTTCTAGCAGAAGCAAATTCTGCATATCACAACTTTTCTTGCCTACACAGTTAGAAACCATCTGCAGCCTACTTTTCTCACCTTTCTCAGCTAGCTGTTGTCACTCTTCCTTGTATACACGCCGGTTCACCCACACTTAGTCCGGTTTTACCTGTGCTTGAGATTATCCCTACCCAACCACCTGCATTTTCAGTTCCTTACATGCACCAACCTCAAAGACCCAATTGTTCCCCCCAAACTCGGTTTCTTCCTCTGACCCTGTAATGGACACATACTGTCTTCGCACTTAGATGGCTCAGGAGCATGCAAGACTGTTGCTCAGTGTCCTCATTCTTCTTGTTAAACAGCTGATGGAGGATCCTCGTAATCACAGGGTAAGTGGCAGCACCTTCCAGAGCCAGGCACTGAGCTGCAGCCCAGCTGTCCACGCTATTACCTGCCACAGTGGGGTGAAAAAGGAGTCCAGAATGGCGATCTCTTCTCCCCACAGAGAGAGCAGCCTTTGGGTTGGTACACAAGGCTGCTACCTGCCTGATATCTCACTTCCCTCTGCCCCCTGTCTCGAAATTCAATCCCTTATTTAAATCACATTTAAATGGATTGTATCAAGGTTCTAAATATAGACTGAAAATCTTAACCTGAAAAGTCAAATCCTAATATGTTTTTGTTAGGTAACAGCAGGAAGGCACTTCCGGCCTGGGTGAGAGACACAGTTGTCCCTCTCACTAGAGACTGGGGAAGTCTGTAGTGGAGGCTTTTTTAAGACAGATGAATTAAATTGTTGAGTATCGCCGTGCCGAAGGCCAAACTGGTCAGCCAGTTGTCCTCCACCCCTGCCGCCACGCAAGGAGCAGGTACATCTTTCAGACAGAGCATTTGGGCACCTTGGGCCTATCATCTGACAGAACCTTTTTGCTTGTGTTACTCCAGCAATGCTTGTGGACAATGCCTGTAAGTTAATGTGCAAAAATGGAAGCAAGATGTGTTCAAGTGGTGATTTAAAAAAATTTTGGAACGTATTCTTTAATATTACATTATCTTTTCAATTGAAAATCTGGTTTACGAAAGGGGACATGGTTTTTGTTCAAACACACCTATGAAACGTTTAGCCCAGGTACCACTAGGTGGCAGTGTACCTATTTTGTAAAGTACCTGGGAAGAACAAATCTCTGAGTATCTAATGGAATCCCAGACCCAATACAGTAGACATCATAGAGCATGATGGTGGAGAGGAAAGGATTAGGAAAAGCTGATGGTGAGCTGTCCTCTCTTTACCCCATATTTCCAGGTCAGAAGTAACAAGGAGTTACTCACCCTTCAAAAGGGCAGTCTGCATGATTTCCCGGGCAAGAAGATTATGTGACTGTATGGCATATTGGCATACTGCTGCTGCCATCCGCACATTGGCGTTCTTGTCACAAAGAGCAGCCTTTAGGGGGGCCTGTAGAACCTCTGGCAAGTCCTGGATAGATGGAGCTTTGACGGTTTCCTTGTCTGTGATCAAAAGAAAGCCAGTAAGAGGGTGCTATCTAGCCCCTTTGCTTTTCTCTGAAACAGAGCTTTTTCCTGTAGTCACATGGTGGCCAACCTCAGTCTCAGTTGCAGGTGCTTATTGCTTCTTAATATAGAGTTTAGCAGAGCCCCTACAATGGGCAGGATTTTAAGGCTGACTTTTGTGCTGGGTATTCCTGTTCCCAATCCTTTATCATCTGGCCTCTACAGAGCTGTACTCAAGCCAAAGGAGAATGTTTCCAGCTAGGCTATGGTGACCATCACCATTAGTTTTAGTGATGAAAATCAACCTATTTATATATTTTTAATAATAATAGCAAATATATTTAGGTAGTGCTTTGCTGCTTATATAGTGTTTCGTATTCATTATCTCATTCAGTCTTCTAACCCTCATTGAAGTAGGCAAGGCAGGTATGACTGCAGAGCTCACCTGAAATATGTGTATTGCAGGAGTCCTTTCAGGTTTAACTACACAGTCTCACAAGACTATCATAGGCCACGCATGGCACTAATCTTTGGAAGGAAATAGGATGGAAGCATAGTTTGCCAACAGGACATTATCAGGCATTCCTTTTGGTAAGAGTTCTTGAGGTGGTTTGTCTAGCATTCCATGGAGCCTTCGGGGGACAGCTCAGGAGCATGGAATCGATCCCCAGGTATGTGTCGTATGTTCCACCACAGTTATTATCTCTTTTATAGAACTCCATAGATATAATTCCAAGGTCCTCAAAGGGCATGCTTTGACAAGTTACAGCATTCATGGGAGCCCAAAGGATGGTGCCTCCTTCAGGCGTGTGTATTTCACTTTACAGTTCTTCCCAGTCCAGATGTAATTTATCAGTCAGCGTTCATTTTTATCATAAGCAATGTTGCCTACAAAGATAGTTCCTATCCTTATCAGGTTATCGGGACAACAGGTAGGCATTTAACTAAAGCTCATTTCTCAAGTAAGAGGGGAAAGTGTTTTGTTAACCTTTTGTCCACAACTAGTTTCATTTTATAGATAAGGAATTTGAAGTTCAGAGAGGTTAACTGACTTCCCAAGATGTGGCAGAGCTAGTTCTATAGCTAAGGCTTTAGAATTTCTGATCTGTCCTTTTCGCTACTACTGTGGGCCACTGTGCCATCTGTTAAGAATGGGCTAGGTGGAAATATGTGCATTTCAGGGGAACAGATAGAAGTCAATTATTTCAAGAAATAATGAGTAAGATAATTTTCTTTGGGAAGTTGTGGGGAGGAAACAAGACAAATCAAAATCTAGACACCCAGGGTCTTCCCTGGTGGCGCAGTGGTTGAGCGTCCGCCTGCCGATGCAGGGGACACGGGTTCGTGCCCCGGTCCGGGAAGATCCCACATGCCGCAGAGCGGCTGGGCCCGTGAGCCATGGCTGCTGAGCCTGCGCAGCCACAGCAGTGAGAGGCCTGCGTACCGCAAAAAAGAAAAAAAAAAAATCTAGACACCCAGGAAGGGGATCCCATGAAAGGGAATGACAAAGGTATTCTCAAATGTATGTGGAAGATTTGGGGATAAGATGATATCTCTTGCCACCTATTGAAGGTTTTCTCTATGTGCCAGGCACTAACACACATCATCCCATTTAATACCCAAGGAAATAAGCATTTAAAATAAAGAATGTGTACATGTAGAAGCATATTAGCAGGGACATCAAACCAAGTCTGGGTGGTGGGGCAGGGAAGACTCCTCAGAGGAAGTGATACCTTAGCTGAAAATTGAAGGGCATGTATAGAAGTTAATCAGGTAAAGAGGGAGAGGTAGAGTTTCCCAGCAGAGGGAGCAGCAAATTTGAAAACCTGGAGTTAAAATGCCCATATCTGGAACTCAGAAGACAGGAAATAAGTGAAATGAAACTTTAAAAACCTGACAACTTTGTAGAGATAAAATTAGTTCCCACCTCTAAGAAGTTCCTTGTTTGGTAGAGATGGCAGAAAAGTAAACAGACAATTATGACAGAATGATAAATGCTAGAGCAGAATAATATCAGGATGCTACCGGACTTCCCTGGTGGCACAGTGGTTAAGAATCTGCCTGCCAGTGCAGGGGACACAGGTTCAATCCCTTGTCCGGGAAGATCCCACATGCCGTGGAGCAACTAAGCTCCTGTGCCACGACTACTGAGCCCACGCGCTGCAACTACTGAAGCCTGCGTGCTGCAACTACTGAAGCCCATGCACCTAGAGCCCATGCTCCACAAGAGAAGCCACCGCAATGAGAAGCCTGCGCACCGCAGCAAAGAGTAGCCCCCGCTTGCTGCATCTAGAGAAAGACCTCATGCAGCAACGAAGGCCCAGCGCAGCCAAAAATAAAAAATAAATAAAATTTTTTTTAAAAAGGATGCTACCATCCTTTTTAAGAGAAGAAGTATCAGCCCAGGCTTCTCACAAAAGGTGGTATCTGAGAGGGCACTTGGAGGTTAGTAAGAGTCAGTTGGTTTTATGTCCTTTCAGCAGCATTTTATAGTTTCTGTCATCTGGGTCCTGTGTCTTGTTAAGCCAGCTCCTTGGTAGATTACAGTTCTGGCTCTTGTAGATGGGAAATTTTCCTTTTTAACTGCTTATTGCTAGCAAAGAAAAAACTATTGACATTTCTTTTTCAAAAGATTACAGACCATTGGGAAAAATGGCCAAGTCCTTAATTCATTTTACAAGGCTAGTAAAAACTAAAACTTGATAAAGATAGTATAAATAAACACAAAACTACCGATTTCACTTACAAATGTAGTAAAACATTCTAAAATATTAACAAACCCAGTGGAGTAGTAAAAGAAAGATCCATTAGGATTTTTTCTAAGAGTTTAACAACAGGATTCATTATATCCACAAATTAAAGGAGAAGAAACTAGAAAATGGCTGGTAAAATTCAACACTCATTTTTGTAATAAATAGAAAAGCTCACATGTATGTTGGCATATGTTTGTAAAAGCATAGGGAAAATGGCGGAATGCCAAACTAAACATTGGTTACCCTGGGGAATGGCATGGGGGTGGGATTGGGACCGAGAAGTGAGTTGGGGGGAGGTAATCACCTCTTTTTTTAAAAAATCTTTTTGTCTGCACTGGGTCTTTGCTGTGTGTGGGCTTTCTCTAGTTGTGGCGAGCGGGGGCTACTCTTTGTTGCAGTGCGCGGGCTTCTCATTGCGGTGGCTTCTCTTGTTGTGGAGCAGGGGCTCTAGGCGCGCGGGCTCCAGTAGTTGCGTGGGCTCAGTAATTGTGGCTTGCGGACTCTAGAGCGCAGGCTCAGTATTTGTGGTGCAGGGGCTTAGTTCCTCTGTGGCATGTGGGATCTTCCTGGACCAGGGATCTAACCCGTGTCTCCTGCATTGGCAGGCAGGTTCTTAACCACTGAGCCACCAGGGAAGTCCCACCTCTTTTTATACTCCTCTGTGTTGACTGATAATGACACTTTATATTTCTTTCGTAATAAAAAAAATGTTTAGGAAGCAGAATCTGTAGAATTTATTGGTCGATTAGTTGTGGGAAGAAGAAAGATTTTATCCAGGATCACTCCCAGGGTCCTAGCTCAGAAACTGCATGGATTGTGGGGATGCCAATTGCGATGTGGAACGTGGGGAGGGGTCTATGGAGAGGGTGATGAGTTCAGTATGGGACATGTTGAGTTTGAGATGTGCTGTCAAAAGAAGCGCTAAAATGGAGTCGGGAGAAAAGTGTGTGCATTCACACACACATACACATACTTTTTGGGTATTATGAATGGGATCTCTCAAGGTAGAACAATGTGAACTTACTTGTGAGCTACTGAGCATCAAAGGGTGATGAAATTCGTGCAAAAAGCACTAGACTAGAAGTCAGGAATTTTAAATTCATCTCTATTGCTGGTAAGTTGTGTATATTCGGGCCAGTCTCTGGGTCTTGGTTTCCATTTTGTGAAATGATCTCAGATAAGCTTCAGGGTCTCTGCCAGTTCAAAATTTCTATGGCTCTGCGAATTGCTTATATTCTCAAGCAGTCCAGTTCTGGCTCTCACCTGAGTCCCCCTGGCTGATGGCAATACGGGGCCGTTCTAAAGCAGCTGTGGCACAAGTGATGATGGCTTGGATGCGGATGTCATCATGGATGTCCACCAAGCTCTGCAGCAGGCTCTCTATTGTCTTATGGTGCCACTCGATGACTTTACCATGAGGAGGAAAATTAGAAGAGAACCACCTGGTTAGGGCTAGATATTGTGCTGCAGGCAGGTGACAAGAAGTCCCCTTCCCCTAGGACAATTCAAGCAGAACAGCTCAGAAGAATAAAGGGCTCCAGAGATGGAGTCCTGTCCTGAGGGAAGTTATTTCTCTTATGATCCAAGTACCCTCTTAGGTAGTTCCCAAACAAAGCTCCTAATCCCATCCTATATTCTTTTATTTTTTGACTTAAATAACTCTTTATTGTTATCACCTGGTAAATAGTTAGGTACAATAAAACATAGCGGTTAAGGGGACTCTGTCATCAGACATACCTGGTTTGGAATCGCAATTACTAGCTATATGACCTTGGACAAGTTACTTAACCTCACTGGGCTTGAGATTTCTCATTTGTAAGATGAGAATAATGCTGGAACCCATTGTATTGAGTTACGTTGAGTGTTAAATGAGTTAACTGGACAAAGTGTTTAGCAAAATGCCTGCAAGATAATAAGGACTCACATGTGATGGTTGTGGTTATCATTAGGTTTCCTTGACTTCTAGGGCTCTTCCATCTGGCTTTCAAGGGCTTCTTTTATTGCTAACTGCTCTCTTTATAGCTTTGGAGCTTTTATTTCAGTGCTCCCACCACCTGTAGGTGCTCCCCACTGGTAGCTTTTACTCAGAATCTTTTTTTCAACTCTTTTTTTGTTTACCTGAACCAGTTTATGTGATGGATCACCTCTCTTTTTCCTGCACTAACTAAACTAGTTTTTCATGTTCTGAAAGCCAGCAGCCCTTGAGTCCTCAAATCTTGCAGCTTTCAACACTCCTTGCTGGGCCCTTCCTCTGTCCCAGGCACTCAGCGTTCTATTCCCATATCGCTGAAGGCAAAGTAAATATATGATAATCCCAAATTTACAAATGAATTTTGGAAAAGGTTTGTATATACCATAGCCAACTGAAGTTTCTTTTGATCACTGCATTTCCATTGCTTGGGCAGCACATTTCACCCTTCCTTTCACGCATCACTTATTGAGTAAAGTTTCAGAGGTCAGCAAGATAGGGTCTCTGCCTGTGAAGAGTTCTCAGCATAGTGAGTTTCCACAAATTACTGATGTAAAACCTGCCCATGCAAAAAGTATCTAGATAAATGCAACTGTCATTGTGTGAAAAGCTCTTTTCTAGTCTAACCTTGATGAGGCAACCAGATTTTTATGTCTCACAAGAGAGGGATGGATTTTCGAAGATTGAGAAACACTAGTCCAAGGTGAGAACCTCCTCCTTCACAAATAACATGCTGATATGTCAGGACCCCCACCCGCCCCACCCCCTTCACTCACTGAGAGCCCAGGCCATCTTCCATTCCTGCAGCATCCTCCGCAGGACCACCAGTTCCCAAGTCACGTTCTCCTTCAGTGACTCTGACTGCTTCTTCAGTCTCCTGGTCTTCATGGGCATGTCCTCCTCACCCACCTGCAGCAGCAGATCCTTGGCCGGTATGGGCAGAGCTGTCCAGCGCATGGCTCCTTTCACAGGCCTGCAAGCTGTGCGGGGCAGCAGTATGAGGTATTCTGCCCACTGCCCTAAGCGTGTGTTCCCAGCCAGCATCACATTCCTATTCCTGGCTGGCACTAAGGCAAAACAAAACTGTCAAGAGCCAACTTTCCTGTGATTATGTAGGAAACTGAGTACAAGTCCCATAGGGAGTTATGACAAGTCCTGACTACAAACATGATAAAGCCATGATGATGGGGCAGAGAAATTTGGGGAAGAAAAGCTGAGATACATATAAGCCTTTTTATAAGTTTAATAAATCTTTAGGAATATAAATATGTTTATATGTAACAATATTTGCTCATAAAATTCAATATTTGATATATTGCCATTTAAAGTAGAATGTAATTGGCCATTAATTCCTAATTTATTAAGTTTTCTTTTTAATGTTTTTAATTTGGGAGGAGGAATGGTGCTATAAGCTGCTAAGTGTTTACGAGTGCCTTGCTATAGGAATGATTAGTGTCTCAGTTTTAATGAGGCAGCTGAAGCCCTGGGAGGTGACTTGCTAAGACCCAACCCAAGGCTTTGCTACATGCTTTCTTCACTGCTTTATAATCATAGCCCTCAACAAAGGAGGAGGCTGTGTGAGTTTGGTGGAAGCTGCCCACATCTGCCATCATTAGCACCTCCTCTGCTCTAGTGGCTATTGCCTCTAGAGCCAGGCAGCACTAGAGACAGAGGTTTGGGGCTGGTGGGAAAAAGAATGGTTCACTATTGCTGCTAGTTTCTGCACACCAGTGAGCCCATCTGAACGGTGACATTGCAAAAAAAAGAGTCATGGGGAATGGAGACGTAGTCTCTGGAGGATGGGCACTTTTTTTTTTTTGCGGTACGCAGGCCTCTCACTGTTGTGGCCTCTCCCGTTGCAGAGCACAGGCTCCGGACGTGCAGGCTCAGTGGCCATGGCTTACGGGCCCAGCCGCTCCGCGGCATGTGGGATCCTCCCAGACCGGGGCATGAACCCGTGTCCCCTGCATCGGCAGGCAGACTCTCAACCACTGCGCCACCAGGGAAGCCCGAGGATGGGCACTTTTTGTTTCATAAGTTTATTTCTTGGTTAACTCCTTTCCCTCTACCTAACCTAACTTACAGAATGAAGGATGATGTACTCATGAAACAGAAATTTGAAACACAGGTTGATTCTAGGGCCTGAAGCAGGTATGGGCCTGAGAATGGAGTGGGAGGGTACAGCCAGCCCAAGGAAAAAGGGCAGAGTGCTAGATCAGGGGTTTGATGTACTTCCTTTGGAAGCATTAAGGTGGGATCTGTCTTATTAGGAATTACTGGCCCTAAACCACTTGGTTGCAACTAAGTTCCATCTCATTTCAGCTGTATGGGCCACAAAGGCTTTTCCTGTTACAATTAGTATTTTATAATTTTATGAGATGATTTTTAGTAGGAAGGGACTCCCCTAGATGCTGGTGGTGTCCCAGCCTATGAAACAGGGGCCTTAAAGAACTAACCCCACTTCCACCTTTACCCCCATTATCAGCTTCGTGCTTACATGGTTCAGGAACTGGCTGGGAGGTCCACCTTTCTGGGGTTTCAGGGAAGACCTTAGATAGCTGCTTGTTGTATCGATTGAGGTTTTCCAGGAAAATTTGGTCTCTCTTTGCACCAATCTGGTGGATGATCTGGACTTTATCTGTGAACATATAAATAATGAGTCCCTAGAACCTGCCTCCTTCCTCTCTTCTGGGTTTTTGGTCACCAGGATCAGACCCAGTTTCCTTTTGCCCTACTCTAAGCCTCTAGGACTCATGACTACCATGCTCTGGGGGTATCCCTTGAAGGTGACTGTTGCTTGGAAGTATGACCTGGTGGCCTCATAAAAGCCTGGAAGCCAAGTCAGAACCTAACTTACAGGCATTTTCCCCTATGAAAAGCTAGATACTAATGAAGGGTTACCTAATTCATCTCTTATCAATCATAAATACCTTTGTCTGAATAATTTTGTTAAACATTTTAAGAAGACTTTCAGTTGAAAGCAGTTTCGGAACAAGATGGGGGTAGGGAAGAATAAACAGCTTGGAACGTGCAATCCTAGATTGTGTACCCTGGAAGCCCAGGCATCTAAAGGATAGCAGGATGGAAGGGGAAGGTAGTGGACATTCATGGGTATTGGACAAGAAGCACTATATTTCTTGTCTACTTAAAGTACATTTTTGTTAATATTGTTTTACAAATAAGGTATGTAAGGCTCGGACAGCTTATATAATTTGCTGAAGGTTAGTAGGAAGGGGCTAAGCCAGGATTTAAGCTCAGATCTCCAGAGCCTGTGGTTGTTTTTTCCAACATAGCACCTCATTGGGGGAATTATCTCAGTGAGAGAAGGGAGAACAGAGAAGAGGTAGGTTGTTCCCAAAGCTGAATCTTGCTTACTTTGCAATCCTACCTCCACTACCTCTTTAGTAAACATAAAGGGATAGAGAGAGGGGAAAGAAGAAGAAGAGTTTCCTTCCTATCAGATACCTGCCCCTGTCCCCGGCCTCCACCCCACAAACCCAAAAAAAACCTCACGTGCTAGTAACCAGGAGGTGTCAACATGAACACTTGGTTCATCCAGGGCCTCTCATCCACACCCATGACTGTTTTATCCCCCAGCTACCTTCCACCTCCCTGCTCCATGTCCCCCTAGGCCCCCACTACAGGGCCCCAGCTCCATTACCAAAGTAAATCTCCTGTTCAAAGGTGTTGTCTGTGGAGTAAGCAAACTTTCCAGCTCGGGGATTCACCTGTCGGAAGCAGCTCTGCCTTGGGGGCTGGTAGACACTCCCCTTTCCATCGATGTCCTCAGCGGTCTTACTGATGCCAGGCATGCTTTCAACTGTCTGCACTTGCGGCAAGTAATTGGGCAATCTTGGAATGAGTGACATGGGGAGAAAAGGGGGGACAGGTAGCTTTAAAACTGGTGCCCTTAGAGGGTGCATGGACTTGGGGAAGGGAACCCGCCTCCTACATTACCTCACTTTACCTATTATGTGTGTGGTTATTTAGTGGACAGACTGTAAGCTCTTTAAAGGGTAGGTCCGTGTCGGTTTCATATACATTGTATTCCCAGCACTTTGCAGAGTGCCTGGAAAGTGGTGGCAATGCAATTTATATTTGTCCAATAGATGAATAAATAAATGTTTCCACTTTAGTTCACTTTTAGGAATCAGGGATGTTATAGCTCCAGTCTTCCTTCCAGTTATAAATGAAAAGGAAGCAATGTGAGAAACGTACAGTAATCCTCTTCTCTAAGCTTGTTTAGTTCTCCATCCTGCTGCCAGTCAGTTTTCGAGTCAGTTGACACACTGGCTCCTTATTCAGACTGAGGCAGGACCAAACCTCATGAGGTCTCTGCCTTCCTCACTCCCACCATGGATTCGTTTCTAGGAGCACCTGGATAGTACCTGGAACAGCAGAATGGCTCAGTCTGCTGGGAAAGGCTGAGAACGCATTCCTTTAAAGGCAGTGGTTCTCAGCTGGGAGCAGCTTTGTCCCTCAAAGGGACATGTGTCAGTGTCTGGAGACATCTTTGGTTGTCACACCTGGAGAGTGCTACTGGCATGCAGTAGGCTGCTGCTAAACATCCTACAGTGCACAGGACCAGCCCCACAACAAAGAATTATCCAACCTCAGGAGTGCTGAGGTTGCGAAACCTTACTTTGTGGAAATCTTAGCAGGTTGGTGGTGGAAAACACAAGAGGTTAATGTGACAGTGTGTTCTGAAATAAGGAGTGTGAGGCCACCCAGGAGTCCTTGAAGGGGAGCCAGGGATTCTCAAAGGCGCGCCCGAGGCCCCAGCCAGTCTACCTATAATAGACAGGAAGCAGCAGCTCTGGCTTCTTTTCCTCCTGGGTGGGCAGAACGACACTTCGATCCTCAAATTCTGCTGTCTCTTCTTCCTCCAGCTGTTTCAAGAGCTCCAGGTCGCTGGAGGAAGTGAGTTCATCCCGGATGTGGCTCCAGTCATATTGCTGGTGCAAGAAGCTCTGCCACTTACTGGGGGACACCCCAGGCCTCAGAGGACACTTGTTCTGGATCCATCGGGCAGTGCGCTTGTTAAGCTTTTCCAGCACGACAGCCTGCCATGCTCTGGCCTCCTTCTCAGAAGGGGGAAGCCAAGTTTCCCTCTCCTCCAGGTTCACATCTGGAGAAAGTGACAGATCCAGCACGTCTAGCTCCCTGCTTGGATGAAGATTGAGAGGACCAGATGCTTCCTGGACTGCGCTTGCTGGCTTTGATTTCTTCAGCTTCTTAAGATTGGCAGAGCTTTCCGTCTTCATAGCCTGGGAGGTGACCCTTGTTGAGGGACCTGAAAAATCCAGGAACTTGAAGCTGACAGGCTTCTCAGCTCGGGGCTTCCTGACTTGGGGAGGCTGGATGATGCCGTCTGCATCGTAGAGATGGTCAAAGCTGTTTTGGCTGTAAGGAATGCTGGCCAGCCCTCGCTGCTGCACCACCTCCCGAGAAAAGGTGAGGTTTGCAGCTGCCTGTTTCAAATATTGGTTCTTGAGGTTTGCACAGTGCTGCGGGCTGGAGTGGAAGACTGGAGGCACACTGGAAACGGAGGCGCACTCCTCCTTGTTTCTTGGTTTTAAGTAGGAGAAAATCATGCCCCATCCCAGCCGTGGGGGGAGTGACTGACGGAAATGCTGGGAGAGAAAGGTCTTTCCCTTCTCGGTCTTAGTCATTGTTTCCCAGCAAATGCTTCCTTCCACACTGCCTGGTCCAGAGGAGGACCTGGAGGCATGACCAGGCACCTGTTAAGGGGATGGGAAGAACTGGTGAGAGCTCTAGGTCAGTAGAAATTGGTAGCCCATAGCAGTCAGTAAGAAAAGAACTTGGAGAACAGGTAGGGGAGGGGGGAAGCCACGGGAATTAGAAAGACAAAAGAAAGAAATGCTGCAACATTTGAAATGGCCCTTGTTCAGACCTTTGCTTCCAGTTCTCACATTTGTCCCAAAGCTCAGACCCTCATCTCCTTATGAGGGATTACTGCTTTTCAGCAGTATCCCAGGTTTCCAGTTTTTCCCCAAAAGTTGCTTTCTCGCTGTTCAAAGAACTTACAGCGTAAAGTTCAGACAACTCAGCCTGGCATTCAAGGGTTCTCCCTGAGTATGACCCCAGTTTATGACCTTGTCCTGACATGTAACCTCTCCTCTCGACTCTCCTAGCTCTTCTCCGAGTGTTCTTCCCTCCACAAGTAGATCTTCCTTCTGTGCCATGTGAAGCCTTTCTTCCATACTTGACACAAATTCTGTCCATTCTTCCAGGCCCAGCTCAATTCCTGCCTACTCCGTAACTCTTTCCTGACCTATCCAGGCCTCCCTGTCATACACAGATTTACAAATCACTCCTAGTCCATTCCAGTTATTTTAACTTTTAACCCTGTGACACCTCACATCGTTAAATATTTGGTTCCTTAACTGCACCGTAAGGACCACGTCTCCAGTCTGCTGTCCTTCAGAGTCACCCAGTACTTTTCCATATTGTTACATAGTCTTCATTGTTAAAATGTTTTACAGCTACAGAATATTTTATCAAATAGGTAAATCACCTTAGCTCTTAATTATCAGGCAAATTGTTTCCAGGTTTTAGCTAGCATGGAAAACACTGTAGAGAACAATTGCCTAGAGTTAGTGCTTTTTAAAAATTTTTACTTCTGAAGCACTTCCTTGGCCTAATAATGATAATTGACAATTATGAGTACTTTGCTAAGGGCTTTACACTGGGATGATATTATGGTCTTTATTGCCTGTGGGAAGAAGCTGGGGCTCAGAGAGGTAGGTAAATTACTTCAGATCACATAGGCCATAAGTAGCAGAGTCAGGCTTCAAAGTCAGCTGCCAGATTCCACCCCAGAGCACTTAACTTCTGTGCCACACTGGCTTTGGCTCCCTACCACTCATTTTGTTGGCCTTGCCATTCCCAGGGGCAGGTGACACTGCCCCCAGCACGAAGGTGAGACCATTATTCTGTTGTGCTTAGTGCCAACTCCTGCCTTTCCTGCCCTGTGCACAGGGTACCCCTTAGCCTGGATCTGACTCTTCTCTCTTTCACAACACCCAGCACAGTACCTTCTCTTTTTAGGGCTTGATTTATTCCATTGTCTTCTGTGTATTAAATCTGTCCTCTTGGTGTGTCTTTTTGTTAAGGGTCAGCTTTTACCTAGATGTCACTAGGCCAGAATTAATGACCTAACTCACATTAAGTCACACATGATTAATGTGATGTCCCTCCAGGAATTTTTGCACATAAGGTTAAATTTAGTTGTTCCATCTCTTCACAGTCACAAAGGCAACATGGCCACCGGGCACTGAGTATTTTAAAAGTCAGAGTAAAAAAATTAGGGCAAGGCTAGAGGGTGGTCACAAGGTGCTGTTTTTCTTTAAACAGTGTCTACTCTCACTGGTTGAAAATGAACTGCGAGATGAACACAATATTAGTGTTCTCCTGCCTTGTGTATTCCTAATAGAACATCTTATTCTTAACATATCAGTGTGTCAGTATCTTGCTCCTAAGTCAGGGGGCATTTTGAGCCTAAACACTTGAAAAACAGAATGAGGACTGGTTTTACCCTAAGATGACTACCTATATGGAATGATTTGGGATGTCCCCAGATGTATGCCCTTTAGCCTGTGACATACAGAATCTTTGGTTACAATGCTGTCATCACAGAAAGAATACCACGTTATCATTATCAGTTATTATAAATTCTCAAGGAATAGTTATCATCATCTAAGATAATGGCTTGTTGAAAAAGGATGAAACACATGATAGATATGTTTTTGTAAAGGAATTGGGACAGGACAAAATGTTCTAAGGTTTGGTCAAAAGAGGTCTGTCCTGGACGGACTTAGAGTCAGAAGACAAGTGTCAGGCCAGGTTCTGCACTTCCCAGCCATGTTTAAATGATTTAATATCCCTGGTTTGCCTTAGTTTGCCAATCTGAAAATAGAGTCTGATACCTGTTCTAATTTAGTGTTGATATGAAGCTCAAAATTAGGGAATATGTATGAAAGTTCTCTGCAAGCTGCAAAGTATTACATAACTGTGAGGAATTGTTATTGATTTAGAGCCTGGAGTATTGTCCTTAGAAGGCAAGTCTCTGGGGCCCCACAGGTAGATACACTGGGCACTTAGGGAAAAGTTTAGGAATACTGGGGCCCTAGGCAATTAAGAGAGGGAAGAAAAGACCTACAGGGTTTGGAAGCTCCATATTATCCAAACTTAAATGTTACTTGGACTAACATTGAGGCAGGGTTCCCTCCCAACAAATAGCCCTTAAGAACCAAAAGCAGAGTGGCAGGTTCCAGGTGCTTTTGTGCACTGACAGCGTGAGAAATTGAATAAATTGCATCCTACAGTTATTCAAACCTGGCATAACTGCAGATCAGGCCCTGTAATCTGGTAAGCAGCAACCACCAGATTATCTCTTGCATTTCTAGGAACTTGGCTAGACAGGCAGGAGTGGGGCTCGAAGGTTTATGCCACATGTGTCCAGTTAACACCTGATATAAAAATCCAGACTCAAAATGGATGCTATCTCAGAGGTCCCAAATTTAGTTCCACTCTTCTGTTCACCTTTCCAGTCCCCAACCCTCACCCCCTGGTCTGTTGCCTTTATTCTGCAGAAATAGTTGAAGTGGGCTAAATAATGCATGCTGAAAGGAGAAATATCTTGTTTCTTTCCTTCTGTTACTAAAGCAGTGGAAACTGCCACAGAAGGAAAGGCTATAAACCTTAGCACAGTATCCTGAGAGGTTTTTTTTAAAAAAAAAAAAAATTTATTTATTTGGGCTGCGCCGGGTCTTAGTTGCGCCACACGGGGTCTTCATCACAGCATGTGGGATCTTCTTAGTTGCAGCACTCAGGGTTTTAGTTGCGGCAATGGACTTCTTAGTTGCGGCATGCGGGATCTAGTTCCCTGACCAGGGATGGAACCCGGGCCCCCTGCATTGGGAGTGTGGAGTCTTATCCACTGGACCACCAGGGAAGTCCCATCTTCTGAGAGTTTTAGACAAGTAATACACTCTGATCTACACCCACAGATTCTGAAGTTCTGAGGAAGGGCCCAAGAGGGGACAGTCAACTTCTGTGACAGTGCTTGTTAGATAGTTAAAGGACCTTCTGCATCAAGATCACCTGAGGAGTTTGTCAAAATGCAGATTCTTGTGTCCCACACTCTAGAATATTGATTCAGTGGGCTGCAAGTGAAGCCTAGAGATCTGCATTTTAACAAGCTCTCAGAGGTTTTTATACACATTAAATTTAGAGAAACCATAGCTCCAAAATGTATCTGTCAGATTTGTGAAGGAAGTTTGGTTAGCAGGGAGAGTGGGATCAGGGAACACAGCCTTTTAACCTGGCTTATTTCAAATACCCTCTCTCTGCTGCCTTTTTTTTTTTTAATTAATTAATTTATTTTTTGGCTGTGTTGGGTCTTCGTTGCTGCCCATGGGCTTTCTCTAGTTGCGGCGAGCAGGGGCTACTCTTCGTTGCGGTGCACAGGCTTCTCATTGCGGTGGCTTCTCTTGTTGCGGAGCATGAGCTCTAGGTGTGCAGTCTTCAGTAGTTGTGGCATGTGGGCTTCAGTAGTTGTGGTGCGCAGGCTCAGTATTTGTGACTCATGGGCTCTAGAGCGCAGGTTCAGAGCCTACTTCAGTAGTTGTGGTGCGTGGGCTTAGTTGCTCTGCGGCATGTGGGATCCTCCCAGACCAGCGCTCGAACCCGTGTGCCCTGCACTGGCAGGTGGATTCTTAACCAGTGTGCCACCAGGGAGGTCCCTGCTGCCTCTTTCTTAACAGAAAGTTCCCTTCATTTTTTTCCCCCTTTCTTTTTTCTTTCTTTCTTTTTTTTTTTTGGCATGCCGAGTGGCTTGGGGGATTTTAGTTCCCCTACCAGGGACTGAACCTGGGCCAGAGCAGTGAAAGTCCTAACCACTGGACTGCCAGGGAATTCCCTCCCCTCTACTTTCTAATTCCCATTCTTTGCCATGCACTCGTACAGGTACACTGCTGTCTCATGAGATTACTCTGGAAATGCTGCCATAAAGATAATCTGTTAAAACTCTTTTATATTAGGTTTCAAAACCAAGGTCTGGAGAGCAGACGTGACTAAGATCACAGTACTGCTTAGTACCTGAAGCAACACACTGATACTTTGACACTTAATCCAAAATATTTTCGACTACTTCTGTCTGCCTCTCATCATTCATCTGATGCTAATAAGCTCCTTTCACATACTGATGAAGCAGCAGTGTTTTGAAATTACCTTCAAAGTGGCTTCCCACACATAGTCTTCAAAGGGAAGCAAGTTTCTTCCATCTTAAACCTTCCTTAGTTTTAGGTTCCAAAGCTGCTTATATTGGTTACTAGGCAACCACCTCTTTAGAATTCCATGAGTCTACTCACAGAACCTATGGGTTCAATCAGGGGTATCTTCAGCTATTTATTAAATTTCCTTCTTTGTAAATTGAACTTTGGGAAGTTGCATTGTATTTACTGATTGGTGGCAAAATGGATTTCTTGGTCATCCTTTGAAAAATAAACCTCTAGGTCTATGCAGCTCAATGTCCCCCCCCCCCCAATTCGTTCATAAGTCCTACTGAGAAAGAGACAGAGCAAGGGAACACATGAACACCCAGCTCTGACATGCTTCAGACCACCAGGTTGATAGAACAAACGGTAAAGCAGAATGAGTGTCTTTGGGACCTTTCCCATTCCCCTTTCATCTCTGCCCCTGCTTAATCTCCTTCCTT